TCTGAAAAGTGAGTTTAGCCTTACTTTATTCGCTTTTGAAAATCATAGGATAAAAAAATCAAATATTGTAGATTACTGCTTGTTGCGTTTCTTTTGCGTGTCAGTATAATTCCTCGCGTATAATTAGGAATCTACAGTACCTACTGAAATTGGGGTTCATAATTTAGCATCATCTTTTGTGCCACATACTCCAGTTCATGAATAAGTATATACACAGTAATTTATCCTCTGGTATGGTATCCAAAAATACCAATTTAATAGTTATCTCTCTACTTTCAGTTTGGAATCAATGTAGACAATGACCAAGAGGAAGGGCTATACAATCTCTACTTTCACAATTGCTTTCAGTATGAAAAAGGGGTCCATGCAACATTTGAAATGCAGGTATGAGCAGTGTAATATCCACTCAGTAGTGAATCAGGAGTTGAGTATCTTTGCTTCCCTTTTGAATATTTGTACATCCATAGAAAAATGAATACATGTTAAAAGATGAAGCATAAAATCTATCAATCTGAAACAGATAAAATTTGATCCATCTTTCTGAAAAACATTGTAATATCTTGTAATCAACTTAATTATTTGTTTAGTCGAGTGCAAAGTTTCCTAGTCATTAACTTTTTAGGATTTTATAATTGCTTAAGCTTAAACATTTCATTTGGTTAATTGTCCTCAACATGATGTAGGAAAGAAAAATTACGATTGGCAGTTGTATAATAAAAATCAGTCTGTAGTTTCTATGAATTCAGTGTTCATTACCTTAAGGAATGTATATTTTTTCCCTTCAGGTTGATATAGAAGAGATAAATGACGGGAACTACTTGTCGGCGGGAGATCTCATCCCGCCTTCTTCCTTCACCCTCTCCGTCCTGTTCTTCATCGCTGGCATTGTGTGGATGGTGATTCTACGCCGCGTTAAGTAAGAGATTCTAATCTATCTTAAAAACTTTAAATTTAGGGAATTACTATCTTGTAGTTTGGTATTTGCGACCGTTAATGCTGATTTAACGGTCGCAATCGTAGTTTTACCAGCAACGCATTTAAGTGGAGCCAGTAAAACGGATGTTTGCGACCGTTAAATCAGCATTCCAAATTACAAGATAGTTATTCCCATTCTAATGCAAACTATGCCTTCTGTTTGTTGTTTACATCTTATTTTATTGAGTTTTGTGATATGAAATACGTCACGGAGCATTGTGTTTTTGCGTCGCTCTATTATGACGTCACAATGAAAAGCTTTCACGCTCGTTAATATGCTCGTTTTACTGCTTTAAACATCAGTGTATTAGCCAATCAAAATGTGTTTTATAACATTATGTTTTATAAACATAACAGTAGATGGCCACCAATTAATCATTAACTTTAGGCCATGATAGAGTTTTTGAGAAAAAGATGAAGTTTTACATGATTGGAATCAATGGTAAAATTTCAAGCTCAGTGTATTAATGAATAAAAGAAAAAGAAATGGTAAAATAATGACAGGAACTTTGATAAGTGGCAGCTGTAATAGTTGTGAGTTGGGAATGAACCTATGTACATAATTTAACTGCTTTAATAATTTGTAAGGATCTTACAAATACATGTAGAACAACATTTACAGCACAGGTTAATTTTAACTAGTATATTTCATGTTAACTTTGTTAGTTTTACTGACCAAGGAATCTTTAGGGCAAAGGCTGTATGCTGCACAGTATTATAAACACTTCATAATATATTCATATTTTCCTGCAGAATTGAGTCACTGTTGTTTACTTGTAGGGAGGATGTATACACAATGCATTATTTAATGTTTGCGGTGGTGATGGTGAAGGCACTATCAAATCTCTTTAATGCTGTAAGTATATAAATGATTAAATGTAGTACTACATATATTTCAACAGATTGAAATAAAATATACAGTCATGTAGCTGATCATATGAGCATTGTAGTACTAATCACTCTTTTTGTAGGTGAACATGCACTTTATTGCAGTAGAAGGCATGCACGAGGAAGCCTGGGCAGGTATTGTATATCTGTAAGACCGACTTATTTTCCATTATTCATCCTTAAAAACATCGGATATGTCGACAACCTGGGATATGTCGACAACCTGGGATATGTCGACGCGGTCCCGGCATTATTTAGTATATGAATGATTTGCAAAAACTCTGATATGTCGACCTCGGTAATGTCGACTACCCCGCTTATCTCGACGTATTTCACAGTCCCAAGAGCAAAATTTACCTGGTATATGTCAGAGCTGCCATCGGGGCAATTGTCAGCGTCTAAAATACGCCTTAACCTAATTGTTTGTCAAAGTTTATAATACCCGTATTTTCATAGCTGACAGACTACATATTTTCTACACGGACGACTCCGTGTGTATCAACGTTTCGGTTTCAGAAGGCCGATCACACCTTCACACCCATGTTTTGACTACATACTGCTCTGTAGAAATATGTTTGTAGAGGAATCCCAAGCCCCCCTCGGCGTCTCCAATACGTTAATTGTTTAATGTTTAGCTTGGGTAATATTGATAAATCTTCTCGTTAATTGTTTAATGTCTGCGTAAATTGTACAACCGTTTATTTTAAAATCGTTTATTTATGTCGAAATCTAACAAAACTTGAACAATCTATTAAAAAAAGTAACTCAATAACAATGAACAATATACACATTGAATTCAATTTAACTTAAAAATTGTGGTAAAAATGCATTCAACAGGAATCAATCAAATCTACGACATGCACGACTATTGCATCGTAATATGGATGCATAATTATGGAACATCATTAAGTTTGTTAAATGCGCAATTCCAATTAAATTTTGGTTTGAAAATGAAATGAAAATTAATGATGAATGATTATGAAATAAAAAAGAAGTGAAATGAAATTATTTTAAAAAATATACGCATTTATTTTTTTCCGTATCTCGGAAGTCAACTTTGTATCGTCCGGTTTGGAGTTTATAGAGCGCATTTCGTATCCTGTTCTGACAGAGCCAGTGGCACGCGGATCGAATGCTGGATGGAAAACGGTTTTTAGTAAAATGAGATAAAAAAGAAAGCATTTCATAAAAAACATTCGTGAAAAACTTATTAGATTTTCTAATAAATACAGAGGGATAGCTGAAACAAATGAGCTACAGTCTAATTGAAGACATGTAGGTACCTGTAGGTACACGTCCGTTCAATTTAGGTCTTTGGTTTTACTATGCAGTAAAATTAAGGACGTCGAGTCTCAACTCTGATATCTCGACACCTCGGATATCTCGACATTTTCCGACTGTCCCGTCGATGTCGAGATAACGAAGTGTACCTGTACCTTCGTTATTTAAGTTTATGAACATATATGTCAAGAATTGTTTTTCATTTTTACTTTGAACTAGCTGATAATCTGAATATAATTTATATATCGGGGTAAATTAAACTAAGTACAAGGGAAAATATTGAACATATATCACCCCTGCATTCTCCTGCCTTTATATCCTAATTGACTTTAACAATTCATTATAGTTACATTTTGGAAGAAGCCCCTGCTCATTTATTCTGTAACTTCTGTGGGTGAAAAAGCCCCCCTCCCCCACCCACCCACCCCCACATTGATTCTGTAACTGATGTGGGTGAAAAAATTAAGCCACCCTCCCCACCTACCCACCCCCACATTGATTCTGTATCTAATGTGGGTGAATAACAATTTGTTATTATCCACATCTACATTTGGGTTGTTAACTATTTTGTTTTAATCTTCAGATCTCGAGGAGCTTTATTGTTTGTGACAATTTTACTGATTGGAACAGGATGGACTTTTGTAAAACACGTCTTTTCAGACAAAGAAAAGAAACTTTTTCTGATTGTTATCCCTCTACAGGTAGGGTGAATTCAGTTTTAAATTATCTGAGACAATTAAATTTGAAATGAGCTTTTCTGCTAACAATTTTACAATGTGCAAGATCTTATGTATTAGTAGTGCAATACCGTATAAGTGGAAATTTTAGCGAGACGCAAATTTAGCGATTTCTACCTAAAATCTGGTATTTTATTTTTTAGCGAGAAGTAATTTTTAACAATTTTAAAATGCTAACTAAAGAAGCTATTTCAAATAAAATGTAATTAATTTTTAGCAATGTCGGCACCCTCGCTAATAATGCCAAAATTCATATCCTCACTAAAAAAAAACTACTTATACGGTAACTTTAAGTCATATTTTTTTTAATCAACATTTTAAATTTCCTCGCTGAAAATGTGTTTCACATTAATTAAGCCATTTTAAAGTGTCTTAAGGTATTAAAAGGAAAAATAAGAATAATAAATTCTACTATCCCTAACCCCCTAAGATTGAAAGCTTGGGCCGATGTTCTAAAGTTGATGTATACTTCAGCTATCTTATGTGATTTGTTTCTTTATCATTAACATTTATGTCCTAACCACTAACAAGTCAATCTGAGACATTTTTGTTCTAGATTTTGGACAACATTGCGTACATTATTATTGAGGAGAGTGAGGAGGGCCAGTCGGAGTACGCTATATGGCAGGAGATTTTTATTCTGGTAGATCTACTCTGCTGTGGAGCAATTCTCTTCCCTGTTGTATGGTAAGTATTTACATAAAAAAATCTTCAAGGCCATTTCATATTTCTGTCTCTATTCTATATTCCCCATTTTCAAAAGGTGAGTTATTTCCCCTGAAGGGAACTCTTTTACTGTATTTAATGCGCTATAAATAAAGTCACTTCCGCGGACGTTCTTGATGTAAACATGTTCATGGTGTAATGCCTCAGTCTGTCATATGGAATTATTGTGTTTGTGAATAAAAAGAAATCTTAACTGATTCGTATTCTTTTTTAATTGCCCACTCATAGTCTCTTTCTGGATTTGTATTAATCTGTATAGTACTATAATAAGGCGCTGTGTGACCCCCCCCCTTACAAAAAAAAAAAACAACAAAAAAACGAAACAAATTACTGATAAAATGCTGTTACATATTCGAATAGGCCTATTAAAATAAAAAACAAAAGCTAATTTTCGGTAGTGGATGTTCTGCAGACGGATCATCATTATTTACAAAATGTGCGAAACAAATTTTTAGTTATAAAGTTTTTACGAATTAATCTAGCCTGCTGCAGCCATATTTTCTTTGTATCTTTAGGAATTTTTTGGAGACTGACGACATGTCCATCTACAGTTTTACCTCTGAAATTGCTGCATATACAGTAGTAGTTCGTCTTCCGCGACCGATTCCAAGAAACTGCGTTTTTGCTCGATAGTATGTCATAACATAGAACTTTTACTTACAAGAACACATTTGGTGACAATTAAAGGCCTATTTCATTTGAATTAACCGTGTTTCAAGAATTTTTTATATGTAAAATACTTGATTCACTGTATAGTATTAAAACTTTGAATGGAATTCTAAATGAACAATTTAATCTCATGTGCTCATGTAACGAAGAAAGACTAATTAAAATAGCATCGACCTGAATTCGTGTTACATATGTCGTATAAAGTCAGAGCTGCATTTAATCAAAGTTTTAGTGTAGGATCTAAGCATATGTACATGTATATTCCCGAGTAAAATACACATTTTGTTTTAGATCAGAGAATTGAGAGCAGAAACACGAAATTGATACAATAATTTCCTAGCGTATTTCTCGTTAATTAACGGAAAACATTCTTTTCACAGTGTTATTTATTTATTTTTTTAACTCGTTCAGTGTAAGTACATGTATTTGTTTTTATAAGTTATTCTTTTTTGCGAAGTGTGTAAAAACAATATCAGAGAGAGAGAGAGAGAGAGAGAGAGAGAGAGAGAGAGAGAGAGAGAGAGACTCAAGTAACCCTGTGTAACTGACATACATGTACATCTGTGAAAAAATATATGTACCGTAATTTTATTGAATTCACAATTAATAATTCTAATAATTTTTAATTTTCACAACTATGGTTCATATTCAACTGTTCAACCCATTTACATATACGTTCTCTGTACCTGTACGAACTGGGGGGGGGGGGGGGGGGGGGTCAAGGGGCTTAGCCCCACCCCCACTTTTTTCCCAGTATTACTTTTTCTATTGAAAATGTTCATTGATAGACAGGTTGCCACCCCCCCCCCCCCCCCCCACACACACACAGAGTTAATACTACGGTAAAGTTATATAAGGGAAATGTAGTATTGTATGCCAAGGAACTGGTACTGAAATAAGTAGCTTTTTCAACTTTGGGCAAGGTTTTTCTTTGCTTGTCAACTTTTCCAGGTAAGAAAAAAATATTTCTTTGGCTACACCCCCCCCACCACCACTTTTAAAGACGATGCTACGTGCCTGGCTAATTCGTATAGCTTTCTAGAAAGGGAGGGGGCTAACAGACCCTTTCTGAAATAATTTATTATCTAACAAAAAAGGCTGTTTCCTTCTTTTAAAATTTTTAAATACAGCGTGTAAGTTGATCACTATTTTGTTGGATTATCGTATTGCGTAGTCCGCGGAAGTTATCCTAGTGTAGAAGAGTTCCGATTTTGAGGGGAGATAACTCACTTTTGAAAATGGGGAATACATGTATAGTAAATGAGGCCAGTCTTCAAGTACTTTGGAATTTCTTTTTTTTTGCCCTCTATTTCTCTTCTTTGTTATTATTTTGAAAAATTGAAAAATTTAAGATATCTTTGTCGGAATAACTAAATAAAGGGTTGCAAACAATAATGACATTTTCCTAATCAACATTGATTGTATAAGTTGGTTTTTTTGTATTTCTTCTTTGCCAGCATCTCATTGGTTACTGGGCTGACATTGAAAACGGAGACATTATCCTTTTAAATGTCATCATGTAACATTTTTAGCTCACCTGAGCCGAAGGCTCAAGTGAGCTTTTCTGATCACATTTTGTCCGGCGTCCGTCTGTCCGTGTGTCTGTCTGTAAACTTTTCACATTTTCGACTTCTTCTCAAGAACCACTGGGCCAATTTCAACCAAACTTGCCACAACGTATCCTTGGGTGAAGGGGATTCAAGTTTGTTCAAATGAAGGGCCATGCCCTCATTCAAGGGGAGATAATTGGGAATTAATGAAAATTTGGTAGCATGTTTTAAAAATCTTCTTCTCAAGAACCACTGTCCAAGGAAAGATGAAACTTATGGGGAAACATCCTCAGGTAGTGTAGATTTAAGTTTGTTCAAATCATGACCCCGGGGGGTAGGGCGGGGCCAAAATGGCCGACCAAAGTTTTACATAGAAATATATAGGAAATTTCTTTAAAAATCTTCTCCTCAAGAACAACAAAGCCATAATTGATCATATTTATATGGAAGCATCCTCAGGTAGTGTAGATTCAAGTTTGTTCAAATCATGACCCCCAGGGGTAGGGCGGGGCCAAAATGGCCGACCAAAGTTTTACATAGAATTATATAGGAAATTTCTTTAAAAATCTTCTTCTCAAGAATAGCAAAGCCATAATTGATCATATTTAAATGGAAGCATCATCAGGTAGTGTAGATTCAAGTTTATTCAAATCATGACCCCAAGGGGTAGGGCGGGGCCAAAATGGCCGACCAAAGTTTTACATAGAAATATATAGGAAAATTCTTTAAAAATCTTCTCCTCAAGAATAACAAAGCCATAATTGATCATATTTATATGGAAGCATCCTCAGGTAGTGTAGATTCAAGTTTGTTCAAATCATGACCCCCAGGGGTAGGGCGGGGCCAAAATGGCCGACCAAAGTTTTACATAGAAATGTATAGGAAAATTCTTTAAAAATCTTCTTCTCAAGAATAGCAAAGCCATGATTGGTCATGGGACTACTTTTGGATTTAAGCTTTTCGAGTATAAACCAATTCTGCTTTTTCCTAGCCACAGTGCTCAGGTGAGCGATGTGGCCCATGGGCCTCTTGTTTATATAAACCATATTTTATTAATATCGTCTAGACAGTTGAGCTGCATGAAATCATTACTATACCCCTTAAATTAATTTGTTTAAAGTTGATGAGCTGTCTAGACAGTATTTTCTTGTGTACTTAAAACTTGACAGATTGCTATTTAAAATTTACAAATAATGTTGTGGGGTCACAATTGACAATCAAAGTTTAACATAGAAGTATATAGGGAAAATCTTCAAAAATCTTCTTCTAAAAAACAGCAAAGCAATGAATGGTCATATTTATTTGGAAGCATCCTCAGGTGGTGTAGATTCAATGAAAATTCAAACTTGTAGTAAAAAAAAAGTCACAGTCTAAGCGTCCTTTTGGCTTAGTTAGTGTAGATCCAGTTTTGTTCAAATTATCCCCCCCCCCCCACCACACTGCCTTTTGGGGGTAGGTTTGGACCATTAAATGCATGATTTTTAGCTCTACTGGTCAGAGACCAGAAGAGCTTATGCGATAGTAATGCGTCCGTCGTCCGTCCGTCTGTCTGTCTGTCCGTCTGTAAACAATTTTTCAAAATGCTACTCCTCCTACAGTTTTGGTCTGATTTCAATATAACTTGGCACACAAGTAGACTACACTAAGATACATAATTCTGTATATCGGTTTTTGATTTGGATGAACGGTGTTGCCGTGGTTACTATAAATAGAAATTTCTGTGAAATTCTTTCGAAATGCTACTCCTCCTACAGTTTTGGTCTGATTTCAATTTAACTTGGCACACAAGTAGACTACACTAAGATACATAATTCTGTATATCGGTTTTTGATTTGGATGAACGGTGTTGCCGTGGTTACTAAAAATAGAAATTTCTGTGAAATTCTTCCAAAATGCTACTCCTCCTACAGTTTTGGTCTGATTTCAATATAACTTGGCACACAAGTAGACTACACTAAGATACATAATTCTGTGTATCGGTTTTTGATTTGGATGAACGGTGTTGCCGTGGTTACTAAAAATAGAAATTTCTGTGAAATTCTTTCAAAATGACTCCTCCTACAGTTTTGGTCTGATTTCAATATAACTTGACAAACAAGTAGAACACACTAAGGTACATAAATCTATTTATCAGTTTTTGATTTCGATGAACTGTGTTGACGTGCTTCTAAAAATAGAAATTTCCGTGAAATTCTTTCAAAATGCTACTCCTCCTACAGTTTTGGTCTGATTTCAATGTAACTTGGCACACAAGTAGACTACACTAAGATACATAATTCTGTATATCGGTTTTTGATTTGGAAGAACGGTGTTGTCGTGGTTACTAAAAATAGAAATTTCTGTGAAATTCTTTCAAAATGCTACTTCTCCTACAGTTTTGGTCTGATTTCAATATAACTTGGCACACAAGTAGACTACACTAAGATACATAACTCTGTATATCGGTTTTTGATTTGGATGAACGGTGTTGCCGTGGTTACTAAAAATACAAATTTCTGTGAAATTCTTTCAAAATGCTACTCCTCCTACAGTTTTGGTCTGATTTCAATTTAACTTGGCACACAGGTGGACTACACTAAGATACATAATTTTGTGTATCGGTTTTTGATTTGGATGAACGGTGTTGCCGTGGTTACTAAAAATAGAAATTTCTGTGAAATTCTTTCAAAATGCTACTCCTCCTACAGTTTTGGTCTGATTTCAATATAACTTGGCACACAAGTAGACTACACTAAGATACAT